GAGATGGAAGAAAAGGCAACACATGAATGAGAGTGGGGGACTGAAGGAGGGGACTTCACAGAAAGAGTAAGGATTGAAGAAGAGCATTTCACAGAAAGGGTAACAGCACTGGTGAATAATAATAATGGCAGACACAAGGTGGGAAACAAGGAATTGGATTAACCAGGCAGGAACTGATGTTTCTCCAGTGTGGCAAAATACCCACATGGAGCACTCTCTGCCCCTAGAAAGCGCACTAACTGCCCCTTGTCAGGGCTTGGCTGAGAGAGGAGGATGGCAGTACCTGCAGGGACTTGGTTCCCCTTTCTCCTTCAGATTCCCCCAGCACCCACTGGTGCATGGGAGCTTGTTGGTCCTGCACGGCAGGGCTTTCTGAACCCTCCATGTGACACCCAGCAAGAGACAGAGCATTTCTAACAAGTCCAATGGTGGGGACTGGCAGTGGGATCAGCCTGCTCTCCTAAGACAGACTTTCTGCCGAGTGCAGTCGCAGGGGTGTCCGAGAAGGACCTCTCCTCGTCAGGAGCTGAAGACCACCCATCCAGCTTTGCACAGTCTTGCTTTACCCAGCAGAGACTTCAACCCCAGCACGGCCTGGCCACTGCCACTCACAAGAGATCCAGCACCCCTCGCCCTCCCTCCTTGCCCAGTTCAGGGAGGGTCTTACGGGACAGACGGCTGTTGTCGGACTGGTTACTGCTCTGAGTGCTCGTGCCTGGGTCATCCCTCTGGATTTGCTGCTCTTTGCTAGCAACAATCTCTGGTTTTGGGCGCCGGCCTGTGCAGATGGGACAGATGGCATCAGTGACACAGAGATGCAGCTCGGAGTTAATTTTTGCTGTGATGAGCAAAGAAAATATTCCCAGCCCCAATGCCGAGGTAAGGACTCTCTGGACTCAAATGACCCTAGAGGTTCAAAGTGCTCAACCTGCAGGCAGGAACGAAAGCTAAAGAGGCAGGTTTGTTAAAATGTTAACAGGTCCCCCTCATATTTAATTTTCAAAAACTTTTAATTGGTTTTCTTGAAAATGTTGCTAGATTACTGCCTGAGAAGGTAATAATCAGCACAAAGGAGGGGCCTGAGGGGAGATGTGAGCAAACCCACCACCATGGGGAGGGTTGCTACAAAGGGAATGCCATTCCCCACACCTGCTGAAGACATGAAAAGCAGCCAGGGGATGGGGGGACTTAGCGTAGAAATTTGGAATGTCCTTTTAATGGCAAAGACAGCTCGGCACCAAGCAGACTGTGTGGGAAGGCTTGGAGCTTCCTTTAGTGTAGGACAAGCTTTTAAGGACAGATTAGACAAACACCTGTTGGAACAACCCCCACAGGCTCATCCTGTCTCCAGGCAGAGGATGGATTAAACGACCTCTTGACATCCCTGCCAGACCTATTTTCTATGGTTCTGCAGGTGTCCAACTGAGACACCAAGGGAGGGACTTACTCCAACCCAGGCAGAGGGGAAAACCTGATTTTCTCCATCCTGTGTCGGTCCCACCCTCCACTTTCCCTTCTGACAGGGTCAATCTAAGCTGAGGGCAGATGGGTTTCCAGAGCAGAAACAGCCCCTTAAGGGTTTGTGGTTTGGTTTTTTTTTTCATAAGGCTGGTGCCTGTGCCTCAGGGCTGCGGCAGGACATCTCAGAGGGGCCCTCCCCTGACTCAGAGCAAAACACCCAGGGAAAGGTTTGACCTTTACCAGTCCGGAAAGTCACCATGGCCGTCTGTCCCTCGCCAGCACAGTTGTGAGCGGCCATCTCCACCTCGTAGAGGCTCCCAGGGTCCAGCCTGGTGAGGGTCAGGCGGTGCTGTGAAGCTGGGACGTCCCTCACTGCCCAGCTGTCCGAGGTGTTGGTGACCTGCTGAGAGACCAATGCAGGCATTGCAAAGCTGGGGGCAGGCTGGGCTTCTCACCTACACTGAGCTCAGTAACCTTCCTATCAGGTTGTGTATCAGCCAGGCTACCTTCCCTGCCCGGAGGCCAATTCCCTGACTGCAAAGGAGGGAGATCTTACCAGCCTGATTTTGCAAAGCCGAAGGATTCAGGTATCAGCAGGACAAGTCACCAAGCACCAGGGTGTCTTCTTGACCCCAGAGGTTCATTCAGCCCCAGTCTGCCCGCTGGTCCCCTCTGATACCGCTACCCCTCAACACAGGTAAAGCTCTGAGCAGGCATGCCCACAAAGGGCAGCATCAAGCAGAGGCTGGAGCTGCTTTAGGAGCCAAATCTCTCCTGCAGCCCAGCTGCTGAGCTGCTCATTTAGATGCTGGCCACTTACCCGCATACCACTTTGGTCACCTATATCTAAATCATTTCACTAACAGATTTTTATCCAGTTTTATCCAGCCTCTTTGCTGGCACTTTCTGGCTGAAACAAGGAACCATAACATTCGAGCACAGGTTTCTGCAGGGAAAAGACCGTGTATGGCCGTGGCCCCCAGAAAGGCTTGGAAACACAGTTCATTTTTTGGTGATGCCCCGATGCCCCATGTGGAGGGGGAGGGAAGGCTGGGACCTTCTTCCTTGTCCTCAGCTGCAAGGATAATATTTTTGCAGGCAAACAGGCAGGACACTGAAGTGACCCGGTGCCAAAAGGAGCATTAGTAACGCAGGCAATGCAACAAAACGGAAATGCCAAGACTCCGTCGTATCATTCATCTTCTCCAAGCGTTTGACACTGACTGATTAATGCTTGCCTCGTTTTATTTTTATTCCTGAGCCCGCGGAGTTGTGAGGCCAGGGAGGGGAGCCCTAAAGACTGCTAATATCCAGGAAAGAAAAAGAGAAATTCTTAAGAAACAAAGGTACTGGCCGCATGGCATCTGACTGTTTGCAGGCTGCTGAGATTTTAGGGGCAGTGTAAGAGCAAGGGGAAAAAAAAAAAAAAAAAAAAAGAGACATCCGCAGATATTTTCCAGAGGAGCAGGAGACCCTTGCCCAGTACAAATGTAAGCCTCCTGTCAGTAGGTTTTACTTATAACCATATTTCACACAAAGAGCCTTTTCTTTTGTTGCTGAATTGATTCCTTCCCTCTCCACACACATGCTTTTCCAGTCAGAGATGTCAAAACCAGATCATTATATAACTTGATCCTAAGGATCTCTGATAGAAAGAAACTCTTTCTAAACAAGTTTAAGGGTTATTGGGACTAATTCCTTTCCACGCAATCCTTAAGCATCCCAAGAAAGAGTCTCCAGCTGAGAATTTGGACTACACTGAAAACATATTACTGCAAACTGCGGTGACCCATGGTGACCCCCCACTGCCCTACAACCCTTTCCAGGTGAAGTGCTGAAAAACAGATAAAATATGGACAAACTCCAGCCTGCAAGTTAAGATGGCATGCAGAATTGGTAGTTACATGATACACCACTGGGGGACAAATCTCTTCTTGGCAGACGACAAGAGCCAATAATCTGGTGAGGCTTTTGGCATCTTTGGGTTTTATTTAAGCTTGTCCTATTGTATTCTTGTGTTGGCATCTTCTGCCTTTGCTTTAAAGGGCTCTTTAAAGAGATGCTTAGCTGAAACCCTCAGCTTAGGTTTTGTTTAGAAAGAAATCAAGGATGTGTAGGGATTATAACAGCCTCCTATTATACCATATTTTCACAAAAATCAAACAATTCCAGGAAAATAGATACATATACTCACATACAATTAAAAACAGTGCCTTGCAGTGGCTGGGAATCCACAACATGCCAGATCTGGAATGTACTCAAACCTCAAAGCAAAACCTGCCTCTCTACTGCAACTCCTTGACTCCCCAAAGGAAATACAAGCAGCAAACAGATAAATTCAAGCCCTTCTTTCCCCACTTATTCCCAGCAAAATGGGAAAATTTGCTCTACACCTCAAAAGCAGAATTTTTACCTCAACAGCACTTCGCTGTTTAGACAAACCGCTGGGCTACAGCTCTGCCTGCGGTGCTGAGAAGCACCGCAGAGGACAGGAGCCCTCAGGCTCAAGCAGGGCTCAGCAGTGCACCCTGTGCTCACGCTGTGCCACCAGCCAAGAGACACGCTCAACAGTGCATTGCCTTTCAGCTTCCAGAATAAAACTGGTGGCTGAGGGCCTTCCCAGAGGATTTAGCATGGCCATGCTGGCTCTCTGCCGGCTCCTCGCAGTCACTGAGCGCGGGTGCTTCAGTGCGGCTGAGCAGGGCAGGTACATGCAGCAGAGACAGGCAGAGTGTCCCGCAGCCCAAGGCTTTCAAGGCAGATGTGTCCCCGTGGCTTGTGCCAAGACAAAAGCGTTGCAGAGCAAGTCACTATGCAATCTGCCCTCAGGACTTCCTACTTGTGTAAGCACACAACTGGGGACTGGAAGCTCTTCAGACTGGAAATACATGTGTGTGCATACACCCCCTATGTACTTAGGCAGACAGGCACCGCTATGGGCTCTTCTTGGACAGCCTGACAAACCTCCTCTCACAACCTGTAACTCGTGACACCTCAACAGGCTGAGGCTGCAGCTGAGGAGGTCCCACCAACCAGTGCCACCAGTGATCAGTGGATGCCCCTGCCCCAACACACCTGCTCATGAGGTGTGAAAACATGCACTGAGGTCACCAGCCCACCTGTGGAATGGGCAGAGGAAAGACAGGAGCAGGGTGAAACAGCAATACCTTGCGATGCTTCACCACATAGTAGAGGATGGGGGCTCTGCTGTCAGGCCGGGGTCTCCACACCAGATCATAGCTGTCTGTCTTGGACGTCCGGGGAGAGCTGAGGATGATGGGGGCCTCGGCTGGAGACACCAGCTCCCTGTTGGCTGCACACTGTGGAGATGCTGCCAGTGGGGTCGTCCCAGGCTTTGGCAGTCCAGCTTTATCCAGGGGCAGCTTTAAGGCACTGTCCCTGGAAGGCGGTGTTGGAGGCTGAGCCGAGCCCAGCTGGGCATCTCGCCCAGGGTTGAGTGTAGCTCCTGAAAGACAAGGTGTTGAGGCAGGGTAAATGCCCATCCCAGTCTACAGTGAAGGCAGAGCTGTGAGCCCCTTCAACCTCTCAGAAGACTGGCACTATGCACCCATTGCAGCACAGGTACCTTAGAGGTATCAGGTCCCAGGCAGTGCTGCCTGCTGTGCCACTCAAAAAGGTGTTGGCAACAATCTCTCCTTCTCCCGCTATAAACCTAACACACTTCACCAGGGCCTCTCTGAGAACAAGCCTTGGCCACATGGGGCTTCCTCCCTCTCTGAAGCCCCTCTTACCATAAAGGTCCAAGGAATCAGGTGGTACTTCTCCTACCCGAGGTGTATCCACCCACACCCGTGTTTATGCTTTTGCTCAGCGCAAGCTTGGAGGCAGAGCTGAGTAAGCCACAGGGTAAGGCGCTACACCCAGATGTCCTATGCCTCTCATGTAGAGATAGCTCAAGTATGCACACACGGCACTGCACTTACAAGCAAAACCGCTAACATCTGTTCCTACAGGAAGATAGAGAGTCAAAAAAGCACTCGAAGTGCAGGGTAAAAGGGAGGGAAGAGCGAGGCTGCTCAAACACAAGCGGGAGGGTTACACACCAACTTTCTTCTCCTGCTGCCCCTGCT